AGCGGGCGAGTGAATGGTTGAGCGGGCGAGTGAATGGTTGAGCGGGCGAGCGAATGGGTTGAGCGTGCGAGCGAATGGGTTGAGCGTGCGAGCGAATGGGTTGAGCGTGCGAGCGAATGGGTTGAGCGGGCGAGCGAATGGGTTGAGCGTGCGAGCGAATGGTTGAGCGTGCGAGTGAATGGTTGAGCGTGCGAGTGAATGGTTGAGCGGGCGAGCGAATGGTTGAGCGGGCGAGCGAATGGTTGAGCGGGCGAGCGAATGGTTGAGCGGGCGAGCGAATGGTTGAGCGGGCGAGCGAATGGTTGAGCGGGCGAGCGAATGGTTGAGCGGGCGAGCGAATGGTTGAGCGGGCGAGCTAATGGTTGAGCGTGCGAGCGAATGGTTGAGCGGGCGAGTGGGCGAGCGAGTGAGTTGACGGTGGGTCACGGCCAGTGTGTTCGAGGAGGAGCAAATGCCAAAGCGAGGAGGAGCGACGCTGCGCGGTGTGCCGGGATGAACGAGGCTGTTTATTCCGTACTTGGAGCTGGGGAGGGTGGTCGTGGTGGCATTCGAGGCATGCGGTTCCGTCACTGCCGCCCCCCCCCCCCAGGGCACCGCGGTGAAAGTGGCAGGCGAACCGGTTTGAACGGCACCCACCGTGTCCGTCACCTCCCGCCCCCTCCCCGGCGCACTGTACGCACTGTACACGCGGCGGGTCGTGTCAGCGGTGCCAGTGGTGTCAGCGGTGCCAGTGGTGTCAGCGGTGCCAGTGGTGTCAGCGGTGTCAGTGGTGTCAGTGGTGCCAGTGGTGCCAGTGGTGCCAGTGGTGCCAGTGGTGTCAGTGGTGTCAGTGGTGTCAGTGGTGTCAGTGCTGCCAAGCCAGTGGTGCCAGTTCTGGTGGCGCACAAAACAGCGTCGCCCCGTGGCCTTAATGCGGCGTGTGTACAAGAGGCGACGTCTAGGGAACGTTGTTGCGTGTGTGTCACCGTGTGTGTGTGTCTGTCACTGTGTGTGTGTGTGTCTGTCACTGTGTGTGTGTGTGTCTGTCACTGTGTGTGTGTCTGTCACTGAGTGTGTGTCTGTCACCGTGTGTGTGTGTCTGTCACCTTGTGTGTCTGTCACTGTGTGTGTGTCACTGTGTGTGTGTCACCGTGTGTGTGTGTGTCACCGTGTGTGTGTGTGTCACCGTGTGTGTGTGTCTGTCACCGTGTGTGTGTCTGTCACCGTGTGTTTGTGTGTCACTGTGTGTGTGTGTGTCACTGTGTGTGTGGCTGTTACCGTGTGTGTGTCTGTCACTGTGTGTGTCTGTCACTCATGGCATATGTGTCTACCACAGGGGCTTAACGGGGGCTCTGGACGGAGCCAGGAGATTGAATATCTACCCTCGGGGCTCCTCCAGAAACAACGAAAAACCACTACGGGTGGCCACGTGGAATGTTCGAACGCTCACTGCGGAGGAGAAGCTGCCACACCTCTGTCGGGAGCTGGACCGGTCCCGCCTGGATCTATGTGGCATTCAGGAGGTCCGGTGGACCGGCTCTGGCTCCTGCCACCATGAGGGGTGGGCAGTCCTCTACTCGGGGCAGCAGACTGCCAAACAACAGGGTGTGGCTCTTCTTTTGAACAAAAGAATGAAGGGGGCGTGGGAGCGTGGCGGTGAGGTGTGGGAAGCTGTAAGCCCCAGGCTACTTTGGGCTCGCCTTCCCATCAACCGGAGGCGAGGAATGGTGGTCGTGGTTACTTATGCCCCCACCGAAGATGAACATCCGTGGAGGGATGCAGGCAAAGCCGATGAGTCAGATGCCTTCTATGACCTCCTGTCACAGGTGCTGGCTAAAGTGGCCCCTCGGGATAGAGTCATCATGTTGGGTGACTTCAATGCCCGAGTTGGTCATGATACTGGCACCTGGTCTGGATGGATTGGAGGGCATGGGCCAGATCAGCTCAATAACAACGGTAGGAAGCTGCTAGATTTTTGTACAGCCCATGGGCTTATAATTACCAACACGCTGTTCCGGCATCGGCGCAACATCATGGATGCATGCCGGGTCCAAGCAAGAACATCTGCTGGACTACATAGTGACGGGCCAGCGGATGCGAGCCCATGTCCTTGACACCAGGACCTACCGTGGAGCTGATCTGCCCTCTGACCATCGACTAGTCATCTGTAAGATGCGCCTGCCATTCTTCCACTCCGGTGGTGGGTGTAGACCCAGGACCCCATTCCAACCTAAAGTGGCCTGGTCTCAGTTATCTGATGAAAGTTGCAAGCGAGAATTTCATCATCGCTTGCGGCTGGGATTGGCATCGTCCCCGACTCCTCCTGACGTCGAGGGTAAATGGGCGAGGTTTAGGACTGTGACTCATGCAGCTGCAATGGCTGCTTTGGGTACGCGGTCCAGACCTCCCCAGAGACCCTGGTTGACAGAGGAGGTGTTCAAGATGGTTGAGAAAAAGCGACAGGCCCACTGTCATCGGCTACAGAATCCCACGGCAGAGAATGAGGAGGCTTACCGTAGCCTTCGCTCGGAGGTTCGGAGAGCCGTGAGGCGCTGCAAGGATGGGTGGTGGTCGCGGGTTGCTGAGGAGATGGAGTCTGCCTCAGTGGCCCGTGATCACAAATCTCTATTTAACTCCATCAAAAAAGTAATCTGCAGCGCCACACCTATTACCATCATTAGGGGAAAAAACGGTGACCCAATCTCCGACCCCCAGGAACAGGTTTGCAGATTTGCTGAGCATTTCTGTGAGGTCCTGGGGGAGGGAAAATCCCTCAGCCAGGAAAACATCGTGGCACAAAGTGAGGATGACCCTGCTGAGGCTGCAGTGCCTCAAATATTGGAAGAATTCACCCCCTGTGAGTGGCTGGCTGAGGTGCCATCTGTTGAGGAAGTACTGAAGGCGATCCGGAGTCTGAGACCAGGAAAGGCAGCGGGCAGAGATGATCTCCCAAGCGAAATGCTGAGGGAGGGTGGCGTTTGTGCACAGACTCCCAATATGACATCATAACAACAGTCTGGACCACTGGACGGATTCGCAAGGATTGGAAGGATGCCCTGGTGGTCCCCCTTTTTAAGAAGGGGGACCGCACAGACTGTAACAACTACAGGGGCATCTCACTCCTCAGTGTGCCGGGAAAGGTCCTGGCAAGGATTATTCAACATCGCCTTGCCAGGCACGCTGAGGAGAGGCTTGCGGAGCCCCAATGCGGTTTCAGGAAAGGGCGGTCCTGCACAGATGCCATATTTTCTGTCCGTCTGCTACAGCAGAGGTGTAGGGAATTCCAACAAGACCTACATCTCTGCTTTATTGACCTGGTCAAGGCCTATGATACCATCAGTAGGCCTGGGCTCTGGGTTGTTCTTCGTGCTTTTGGAGTACCTGACCCTCTGCTCATGATCATTAAGGACCTTCATGATGGTGAGCGGGCCCGGGTAAAACTACGTGACCGGGAGTCAGAGCCATTCCCTGTACACCTTGGGGTGCGACAGGGATGTCCTCTGGCTCCCACATTATTTAACATCTATTTTGACCACGTAGTTTGTGAAGCCTTCAATAGCTGTACCGGGGGAATCTCCATATGGTACAGATATAATGGGAGGTTGATCGATGCTCGGGTGCGGTCAAGGGATGGCTCCCTATTGCTCAACCACGTTATGTATGCAGATGATTTGGTAATAGCTGCTCATTCAGAGGAGGAGTTGGAGACGCTGCTGCTGAGACTGGAGTGTGTCACTAAGAGGTGGGGCTTTACCATCAGCCCCACCAAAACTAAGCACCTGCCTGGGTATTTTGTACCATCGGACACTCCACCCCCACAACTCCCAATCGGTGATGGGGCAGTTGTGGAGAGAGTGGAGAGTTTCCCATACCTGGGCAGTGTGCTTATGACTGGCTCCAGTTTAACAGCAGAGGTCTCACTCCGAATCAGTCGAGCGGCAATATCTTTCATCAGTTGCGTAACGCTGTGTGGAAGCTACCTGGTCTGTCGCTCCGCACTAAGCTTCAGGTCTTCTCGGCCACGGTCATTCCTTCCCTTCTCTACGCTTGCGAAACGTGGACCCCCCTAATGGAACATCTTTGCCAGTTAGAAACATTTAGGCTGGCCTGCCTACTATCCATCCTGGGTTTAACCAGACGGGATTGTGTGAGGAGCTCAAGATCTGGGCAAGGTCCCATCGGTGAGCTCCTCCGGCGGGGAAGGCTGCGTTGGTTGGGTCATGTAGCCCGCATGCCCAGCCACCGCATGCCGAAACAGCTTTTGTTCGGCCGGATTGAGGGGGCTAAGCGGGCGCGGCATGGGCTAGAGAAGAGATGGAGTGATGTGGTACAGGAGGACGTGGAGCTGAGTGGACTTGCCGATGACTGGTACCAGCGGTGTCAAGATCGGCCTCTGTGGAGGAGGCTCGTGAAGGATGCGTCTGGGCAGTTGGAGGCAGTCGCCCTCCAACAACAACGGAGGGCGGAGGAGCGGCGCTCACAACAACGAGCGGAGCGCCGGGTGGCTAAAGCACAGTGGGTTGGCACAGTAGGGGGCACAGGTGGTGCATCAGCCAGTCATCTCAGTCAGTCGACCCGTGGCACCTGGGTCTGCCCCGTGACCTGCCAGCGGGCGTTCGACACTTCACGTGGCCTCAGGGTGCACATAGCCTGGCACAAGCGTCGTGGTGACGTCACCGCCACTTAGTGGCGAATGGCGGTTGTTTTTGTCACTGTGTGTGTGTATGTGTGTGTGTGTCTGTCCGTTCCGGCCTTCATAGGTGCTGCTCGCTGACAGCACTTGCCCCAACAGTCTGTTCAGGCTACACGGGGGATCTTTGTCTTTGTTTCGTCTGTCACAGTGCGAGTGCGCGTCGGCCTTCATCGGTGCTCCTCGCAGGCAGCTAACACAGTTGGGGGGGAATCTTTGCCTCTGTGCCTGTGTGTGGTACACACACACACACGTACACACGCACACACGCACACACACACACACGCACACACACACGCACACACACACACGCCCCCGCGTGCCCATGCAGGCGCGTGTGAAGGATGTCGGACAACGGCGAGGCGGAGGACAAGCCGCCGGCGCCGCCGATGCGCATGACGAGCACCATCATGGGCAGCAAGGAGTCTCCCGCACCGCACCACGGCTCCAAGCCACTGCCCTCGGCGCCCCCCGACGAGAAGAAGTCCAAATCGCGTGTCCTGGGCTCCATCTTCGGGGACCGGCGTGAGTGGGGAGTGGGGGGGGGGGGGGGTGTAACGGTGTGTGTGTGTGTGTGTAACGCTGTGTGTGTGTAACGGTGTGTGTGTGTGTAACGGTGTGTGTGTGTAACGGTGTGTGTGTAACGGTGTGTGTGTGTAACGCTGTGTGTGTGTAACGCTGTGTGTGTAACGGTGTGTGTGTGTAACGCTGTGTGTGTAACGTGTGTGTGTAACGGTGTGTGTGTGTAACGCTGTGTGTGTAACGCTGTGTGTGTAACGCTGTGTGTGTGTGTAACGCTGTGTGTGTGTGTAACGCTGTGTGTGTGTGTAACGGTGTGTGTGTGTAACGGTGTGTGTGTAACGCTGTGTGTGTGTAACGCTGTGTGTGTGTAACGGTGTGTGTGTGTGTAAAGCTGTGTGTGTAACGCTGTGTGTGTGTAACGGTGTGTGTGTAACGCTGTGTGTGTGTAACGGTGTGTGTGTAACGCTGTGTGTGTGTGTGTGTAACGGTGTGTGTGTAACGGTGTGTGTGTGTGTAACGCTGTGTGTGTGTAATGGTGTGTGTGTGTGTAATGGTGTGTGTGTGTGTAACGGTGTGTGTGTGTGTAACGCTGTGTGTGTAACGCTGTGTGTGTAACGCTGTGTGTAACGCTGTGTGTGTAACGCTGTGTGTAACGCTGTGTGTGTAACGCTGTGTGTGTAACGGTGTGTGTGTGTGTAACGCTGTGTGTGTGTAACGCTGTGTGTGTGTAACGCTGTGTGTGTGTGTGTAACGGTGTGTGTGTGTGTGTAACGGTGTGTGTGTGTGTAACGCTGTGTGTGTGTGTAACGCTGTGTGTGTAACGCTGTGTGTGTGTGTGTAACGCTGTGTGTAACGCTGTGTGTGTGTGTGTAACGCTGTGTGTAACGCTGTGTGTGTGTGTGTGTGTAACGCTGTGTGTAACGCTGTGTGTGTGTGTAACGCTGTGTGTGTGTGTGTATCGCTGTGTGTGTGTGTGTCACGCTGTGTGTGTGTGTAACGCTGTGTGTGTGTAACGCTGTGTGTGTGTAACGCTGTGTGTGTGTAACGCTGTGTGTGTGTGTAACGCTGTGTGTGTGTGTAACGCTGTGTGTGTGTGTGTGTAACGCTGTGTGTGTGTGTAACGCTGTGTGTGTGTGTAACGCTGTGTGTGTGTGTGTAACGCTGTGTGTGTGTAACGCTGTGTGTGTGTAACGCTGTGTGTGTGTAACGCTGTGTGTGTGTGTAACGCTGTGTGTGTGTGTAACGCTGTGTGTGTGTAACGCTGTGTGTGTGTGTAACGCTGTGTGTGTGTGTAACGCTGTGTGTGTGTGTAACGCTGTGTGTGTGTGTAACGCTGTGTGTGTGTAACGCTGTGTGTGTGTGTAACGCTGTGTGTGTGTGTGTGCGTAGCCAACAAGAAGAAGGAGAAGGAGCGCCCCGAGATTTCACTGCCCTCCGACTTTGAGCACACGGTGCACGTCGGCTTCGATGCCGTCACGGGGGAGTTCACGGTAATCGCTCACCACCTCCACGCTCACCACCTCCACGCTCACCACCTCCACGCTCACCACCTCCACGCTCACCACCACCGTGCTCACCACCTCCACGCTCACCACCTCCACGCTCACCACCTCCACGCTCACCACCTCCACGCTCACCACTACCGCACTCACCACCTCCACGCTCACCACCTCCACGCTCACCACCTCCACGCTCACCACCTCCACGCTCACCACCTCCACGCTCACCACCTCCACGCTCACCACCTCCACGCTCACCACCTCCACGCTCACCACCTCCACGCTCACCACTACCGCACTCACCACCACCGTGCTCACCACCTCCACGCTGGCCACTACCACACTCACCACCACCATGCTCAACACCACGCTCACCACCCTCGCCACGCCCACCACGCTCACCTCCACCACCGCACTCGCCGCCACCACCACCAGCCGCTCCACCACCACCACCACGTTTACCACCAACACGATCCCCACAACTCTCACCTACACCACGCTTATCACCACACCACCCTTACCACCACCACAACTCTCACCACCACCATGTTCTACGTGCGCGTGTACACATGCATGTACACGTGCGTGCCTGCATGTGTACACTCGTGGCTGTGCGTGCACGCCTGTATGCGGTGTGCGCGTGCCTGTGTCCGCCTGTACTCACGTGTATGTCCGTGCCTCTACTCGTGCGTGCATGCACGCGCCTGCAGATGCAGGTGCCTGCAGATGTACGTGCCTGTACATCTGCGTGCCCGTACATGCGCCTGTACACGTGCGTGCCCGTGCGTGCGTCTGCGCCTGTACACGTGTGCGTGCCCGCCTGTACACGTGCGTGCCCGCCTGTACGTGTGCGTGCCCGCCTGTACATGTGTGCGTGCCCGCCTGTACACGTGCGTGCCCGCCTGTACACGTGCGTGCCCGCCTGTACACGTGTGCGTGCCCGCCTGTACACACGTGCGTGCCCGCCTGTACACGTGCGTGCCCGCCTGTACACGTGCGTGCCCGCGCGTGCGTCTGCGGGGAGCAGGGGATGCCCGAGCAGTGGCTGCGTCTCCTGTCGACGTCCAACATCAGCAAGTCGGAGCAGAAGAAGAACCCGCAGGCGGTGCTGGACGTGCTCAAGTTCTACGACTCGAAGGAGAGCGTCAACCAGAAGTACATGAGCTTCACGCCCGTGCTGGGTGAGCGGGCATCCCCCCCATCCCGTCGTGCCCCCACACACGCCCGCGGGTTTTAGTGGTCGGGGCAAGGCTGGGAGTGCGGCGCCAGTGAGGCGGTGATGGCGGCGGGGGGGGTGGGTCTCGTGTCACCGTGCACGCAGAGGAGCGGAGTCTTCATCCTTCACGTTTGAGAAGCGGCCGCCACCTTTGTTGCGTGCGTGCGTGCGTGTTGTTGAGCCTCTCGAGTTGGTGGTCGAGGCAAGGCTGGGAGCGTTGTGGTGCTTTGCCGTGGCAGTCCTGGTGGTGGTGTTGGTGGTGGTTATTGTGGTGACACTAGCAGTGGTGGTGGTTATTGTGGTGACAGTGGTGGTGGTTATAGTGGTGACACTAGCAGTGGTGGTGGTTATAGTGGTGACACTAGCAGTGGTGGTGGTTATAGTGGTGACACTAGCAGTGGTGGTGGTTATTGTGGTGACAGTGGTGGTGGTTATTGTGGTGACAGTGGTGGTGGTTATTGTGGTGACAGTGGTGGTGGTTATAGTGGTGACACTAGCAGTGATGGTGGTGGTTATAGTGGTGCCCGTGGTGGTGGTGGTGGTGGTTATAGTGGTGATGGTGGTGGTTATAGTGGTGACAGTGGTGGTGGTGGTTATTGTGGTGACACTAGCAGTGGTGGTTGTTATAGTGGTGCCCGTGGTGGTGGTGGTTATTGTGGTGACAGTGGTGACAGTGGTGGTTATTGTGGTGACACTAGCAGTGGTGGTGGTTATCGTGGTGACAATGAGGAGCAGTGGTGCAGCGGTTAGCACTGTTCCGTGCTACGAACTCGGCAGGCACCCGAGTTCGATCCCCGCTCACGGCCACCACCAACACCAGGGATAGCGATGGTCTCGACCGGTCCTGGGCCTCCTCCCCTAGTTCGGCTCGGCCTCAAAACGAGCGCCTGGTGTAGCGGCGTGTGGCAAACATCGCCACTGTTAAGGATACACGGGGGGTCTTTGCCTTGATAGCGGTGACGGTGGCAGTCCTGCCGGTGGTGATGGTGGTTTGTAAGAACGTTCGGACGCGTGAATGACATCTGGTTTTTCGTTTTTATTTCGCAGATAAAGTTGAAGCTTACACAGGAACCGCACAGGTGAGGGAGGCTCTTACCGTCATTGGCGAGAAATCATCATCAGCAGCTGCTACAGCTCTAAAATCATCATTATCATCATCATCAGCAGCTGCTACAGCTCTAAAATCATCATCATCATCATCATCGGCGTCATCACCACCATCATCAGCAGCGGCGGCAGCATTACAACCGCCACTATGCTACTCGCATAGTGTATGAACATCCATCCGTTGGCTGTAAACGTCTTCATACGTAGAGGCCTGCAGAGCTTGGGCGATTGCAAGTAGCGCCGGCACACCAGCGACCAGCGCTGTCTGTCCGTGGGCTCTCGGCGTTTGTGAGAAGGCGAGGGGTCGCTTGTACTGACCGGGACGACGCTGCGTGTCGTCGTCATCATCATCGTCATCATCGTCATCATCGTCATCATCGTCATCGTCGTCGGCAAGATTATCGTCGCCGTGGCTCCCGCGTGCACGCGCGACTCTCTCTGTGCGGCGAGCGGCGGCTGGCGGTGAGCGCTACGCCGCCCCTTCGAACCTGGCCGCGACCCGAGTTCCATCCCCGCTCACGGCCACCGCCACCACGACCACCACCACCACCAGCACCACCGGTGCGATGGCGATTATCGGAACCGGTCCTGGGCCTCCCCTAGGTCGCCTCGGCCCGAAACGAGTGCCTGCGCGCGCAGCGCAGCAAATGTCGTCGCTGGGGAGGGAGCGGGAGACGAAGGTGGCCGCCCCCAAGCCCCCCCGTGCACCGCGCCGGCCTTCATCGGCGCTGCTCGCTAGGAGGCACTTGCCCCCGACAGTCTGTCGGGGCTACCCGGGGAACCTCTGGTCTGTGGCGCAGGTGACGAAGGTGGACGCGGGGTGTGCGGAGGCCGAGGAGGACGACGACGACGACGACGACGACGACGCCTCGCCTCCTCCGATCGTCGCCCCAAGGCCGGAGCACACCAAGTCCGTACGTCTCGCACGCAAGCCGCGCCGCGCCGCGCCAGGCCAGGTGCACTTCGAGGCCGCGTGAAGCGCCGGAGGCTTTCTGGCGGGAGGTCACGGGACCGGGGGGGGCCGGCCGCGGGCGCCGGGCTCAGGCGCAGGAGGAAGCGCCGTGGGTTGACCGACCGAGACGCGGGGGCGGCAGAGGGTGGGCTCCGCCCGTCCCCCTCTGCACGGGGTGTGTGGGGTGGGGATCGAGTGTTTCTCCCCTTCGCCCGCGTGTGCAGATGTACACGCGCTCCATCATCGAGCCCCTGCGGCCACCACAGCCGGCCAAGGACGGCGTCGGCGTCGGAGGCGGGGCCCCGTCCCCGGGGGGGCCCCCGGCCCACCACGGCGGGGAGCCCGGCTCGGGGACCCCCCACAAGGGGACCCCCGACAAGCCGGGGCCCGACGGCGGCGGCGCGGCTGACAAGAGCAAGAAGAAGGCCAAGATGTCGGACGACGAGATCCTGGAGAAGCTTCGTACGGCACCACCACCAGCACCACCACCAGCACCACCACCACGTTGCACCACCACCACCACCAGCACCACCAGCACCACCACCACGTTGCACCACCACCACCAGCACCACCACCACGCTGCACCACCACCACCACCACCACGCACGGCACCACCACCACGCTGCACCACCACCACCACCTCAAATGGGTACCTGGTGCAGTGTGTAGTAAACATCGCCACTAGGGAGACAAAGGCGGCCGGGCGTGGTGTTGGCCACCCACGCCCTCATGCACCGTGCCAACCTTCATAGGTGCTCGCTAACAGCACTTGCCCCAACAGTCTGTTCAGGCTATACGGGGTGTGGTGTGGTGTGTGTGTGGTTTGCGTGTGGTGTGTATGTGGTCCGTGTGCTGTGTGCTGTGATGATTCTGTGATGATTGTGTGTGCTGTTTGTGCGTGCGTGTCTGTGTGCTCTGTGTTGTGTGTGTGTCTGTGTGCTGTTTGTGTGTGCTGTGTGGTACGTGTGATGGGCGTGTGTGTGTCTGTGCGATGATTCTGTGATGATTGTGTGTGCTGTTTGTGTGTGTCTGTGTGCTGTGTGTTGTCTGTGTGTGTGTCTGTGTGCTGTTTGTGTGTGCTGTGTGGTACGTGTGATGTGTGTGTCTGTGTGTCTGTGTGCTGCGTGTGATGTTTGTGTGTGCTGTGTGTGATGTCTGTGCATGTCTGTGTGCTGTGTGTGCATGTCTGTATGTCTTTGTGCTGTGTGTGATGTTTGTGTGTGTGCTGTGTGCTGCGTGTGTATATCTGTGTGCTGTGTGTGATGTTTGTGTGTGCTGTGTGTCTGTGTGCTGTGCGTGATGTGTCTGTGTGCTGTGTGTGTATGTTGTGTGTGATGTTTGTGTGTGCTGTGTGTGATGTTTGTGTGTGTGCTGTGTGCTGTGTGTGATGTTTGTGTGTGCTGTGTGTGATGTTTGTGTGTGTGATGTTTGTGTGTGTGATGTTTGTGTGTGCTGTGTGTGATGTTTGTGTGTGTGATGTTTGTGTGTGTGGTGTTTGTGTGTGTGGTGTTTGTGTGTGTGATGTTTGTGTGTGTGATGTTTGTGTGTGTGGTGTTTGTGTGTGTGATGTTTGTGTGTGTGATGTTTGTGTGTGTGATGTTTGTGTGTGTGATGTTTGTGTGTGTGATGTTTGTGTGTGTGATGTTTGTGTGTGTGATGTTTGTGTGTGTGATGTTTGTGTGTGTGATGTTTGTGTGTGTGATGTTTGTGTGTGTGATGTTTGTGTGTGTGATGTTTGTGTGTGTGATGTTTGTGTGTGCTGTGTGTGCTGTGTGTGATGTTTGTGTGTGTGGTGTTTGTGTGTGCTGTGTGTGATGTTTGTGTGTGTGGTGTTTGTGTGTGCTGTGTGTGCTGTGTGTGCTGTGTGTGATGTTTGTGTGTGTGATGTTTGTGTGTGCTGTGTGTGATGTCTGTGTGCTGTGTGTGATCTCTGTGTGTGCACAGGCAGCATAGTGAGCGTCGGGGACCCCAAGAAGAAGTACGCACGGTTCGAGAAGATCGGACAGGGGTCAGTAAACAACCCCCACTACCCCCTCGTACCCCCCTATCCCCTACCACCCCCCTAGCCCCTACTACCCCCTAGCCCCTACTACCCCCTATCCCCTACCACCCCTCTATCCCCTCTACAATAGCCCCTACCCCCACTACCCCCTCATACCCCCCTATCCCCTACCACCCCCCTAGCCCCTACTACCCCCTAGCCCCTACTACCCCCTATCCCCTCTACCCCCTCGTACCCCCCATCCCCTACCACCCCCTAGCCCCTACTACCCCCTATCCCCTCTACAATAGCCCCTACCCCCACTACCCCCTCGTACCCCCCATCCCCTACCACCCCCCATCCCCTACTACCCCCTAGCCCCTACCACCCCCCTATCCCCTCTACAATAGCCCCTACCCCCACTACCCCCCATCCCCTACCACCCCCTATCCCCTACTACCCCCTCGTACCCCCCATCCCCTACCACCCCCTATCCCCTACTACCCCCTATCCCCTACTACCCCCTATCCCCTCTACAATAGCCCCTACCCCCACTACCCCCCATCCCCGACCACCCCCTATCCCCTACCACCCCCTATCCCCTACTACCCCCTATCCCCTCTACAATAGCCCCTACCCCCACTACCCCCCATCCCCGATCACCCCCTATCCCCTACTACCCCCTATCCCCTCTACAATAGCCCCTACCCCCACTACCCCCCATCCCCTACCACCCCCTATCCCCTCTACAATAGCCCCTATCCCCTATCGCCCCCCTATCCCCTTTTCTATAACCCTTATCCCCTACCACCCCCTATCCCCTACCACCCCCCTATCCCCTTTTCCATAACCCCTATTCCTATCCCGTTTACAATAGGCCCGGTTCTGGGGCTTCCCTAGGTTGACTCGGCCTGAAATGAGTACCGGGTGCGACGTGCATACATTAATTATTATGAGGAATAGGGGAGACAAAGGTGGCCGGGTGTGGTGCTCAGCCCCCCCAACCCGCCCCCCCCCCCCCCCGCCCTTAATAGGCACGGTGGCTATGAGATGTCAACTACCTCGCCTGGCACGCGGGAGGTCGTGGGTTGGATCCCGACCCCGAAGGCGCCTGCTGTTTCTGCTGCTGTATATTTGTCATTTGCGTCTCTCTCCCCGTGGCCGCGTGGATTTTTATCCGGGTCCTCCCGCCTTTCCATCCACATTTGGAATCGACGTCACCACGCGTCTAGAGTATTTGGCCACTGCTATGAATTTGCACGTGATGGTGACGATGATATCAGCCAATTTGTTGAGCTATCATTTGTGATAGCCGGGTCAGTTCTAAAAAAGCTACAGAGCTCAGTGGACCTTATCTGGAAAGATAAAACATTGTTGAATAGTTGTATAAGTGCTCGCTAATAGCACCTGACCCAACCGTCTGTGTAAGCTGCATGGGGTATATTGTTTTTTTGTGTGCAGTGCATCAGGGACGGTCTACACAGCATGTGACGTGTCTACAGGACAGGAGGTGAGACGAGACTCCTTAACTTGCTGCTTCTGTGTGTCCGTGTATTGTGTGTCTGTGTATTGTGTGTGTGTCTGTGTGTGTCTGTGTATTGTGTGTGTCTGTGTATTGTGTGTGTCTGTGTATTGTGTGTGTGTCTGTGTATTGTGTGTGTCTGTGTATTGTGTGTGTGTCCGTGTATTGTGTGTGTGTCTGTGTATTGTGTGTATGTATTCTGTGTGTCCATGTATTGTGTGTCTGTGTATTGTGTGTGTGTCTGTGTATTGTGTGTGTGTCTGTGTATTCTGTGTGTCTGTGTATTCTGTGTGTGTGTGTCTATTGTGTGTGTCTGTGTATTGTGTGTGTGTCTGTGTATTTTGTGTGTGTGTATTCTGTGTGTCTGTGTATTTTGTGTGTGTATTCTGTGTGTCTGTGTATTCTGTGTGTGTATTCTATGTGTGTCTATATGTTCTGTGTGTGTGTATTCTATGTGTGTCTATATGTTCTGTGTGTGTATTCTGTGTGTGTTTGTGTATTCTGTGTGTGTGTATTCTGTGTGTGTGTTTGTGTATTCTGTGTGTATATTCTGTGTGTATGTCTGTGTAGTCTGTGTATTCTGTGTGTGTGTGTGTGTATTCTGTGTGTGTGTATTCTGTGTGTATGTCTGTGTATTCTGTGTGTGTGTATTCTGTGTGTGTGTATTCTGTGTGTGTGTGTGTATTCTGTGTGTGTGTGTGTGTATTCTGTGTGTGTGTATTCTGTGTGTATTCTGTGTGTGTGTGTATTCTGTGTGCATTCTGTGTGTATTGTGTGTGTATTGTGTGTGTATTCTGTGTGTGTATTGTGTGTGTGTATTGTGTGTGTGTGTGTATTCTGTGTATTCTGTGTGTGTGTGTATTCTGTGTATTCTGTGTATTCTGTGTGTGTGTGTATTCTGTGTGTATTCTGTGTGTGTGTATTCTGTGTGTGTGTGTCCGTGTTTTCTGTGTGTGTGTATTTTGTGTGTATTCTGTGTGTGTGTATTGTGTGTGTGTCTGTGTGTGTATTCTGTGTATTCTGTGTGTGTGTGTATTCTGTGTATTCTGTGTGTGTGTCCGTGTATTCTGTGTGTGTATTCTGTGTGTATTCTGTGTGTGTGTGTGTATTCTGTGTGTGTGTGTGTGTATTCTGTGTGTATTCTGTGTGTATGTATTCTGTGTGTATGTATTCTGTGTGTATTCTGTGTGTATTGTGTGTGTATTGTGTGTGTATTCTGTGTGTGTGTATTCTGTGTGTGTGTGTATTCTGTGTGTGTGTGTATTCTGTGTGTGTGTGTATATTCTGTGTGTGTGTGTATATTCTGTGTATTCTGTGTGTATTCTGTGTATTCTGTGTGTCCGTGTATTCTGTGTATTCTGTGTGTGTGTATTCTGTGTGTGTGTGTGTGTATTCTGTGTATTCTGTGTGTGTTTGTATTCTGTGTGTGTTTGTATTCTGTGTGTGTGTATTCTGTGTGTGTGTCTGTGTATTCTGTGTGTATGTGTATTCTGTGTGTATGTGTATTCTGTGTATTCTGTGTGTCCGTGTATTCTGTGTATTCTGTGTGTATGTGTGTCCGTGTATTCTGTGTGTCTGTGTGTGTGTGTATTCTGTGTGTGTGTGTGTATTCTGTGTGTGTGTGTATTCTGTGTATTCTGTGTATTCTGTGTGTCCGTGTATTCTGTGTATTCTGTGTGTGTGTATTCTGTGTATTCTGTGTGTGTGTATTCTGTGTGTGTGTGTGTGTGTATTCTGTGTGTGTTTGTATTCTGTGTGTGTTTGTATTCTGGGTGTGTTTGTATTCTGTGTGTGTGTGTGTCTGTGTGTGTGTATTCTGTGTGTGTGTGTGTATTCTGTGTGTGTGTGTGTGTATTCTGTGTATTCTGTGTATTCTGTGTGTCCGTGTATTCTGTGTATTCTGTGTGTATGTGTGTCCGTGTATTCTGTGTGTCTGTGTGTGTGTGTATTCTGTGTGTGTTTGTATTCTGTGTGTGTTTGTATTCTGGGTGTGTTTGTATTCTGTGTGTGTGTGTGTCCGTGTATTCTGTGTGTATGTGTGTGTGTATTCTGTGTGTGTGTGTATTCTGTGTGTGTGTGTGTATTCTGTGTATTCTGTGTATTCTGTGTGTCCGTGTATTCTGTGTGTCCGTGTATTCTGTGTATTCTGTGTGTGTGTATTCTGTGTATTCTGTGTGTGTGTATTCTGTGTATTCTGTGTGTGTGTATTCTGTGTATTCTGTGTGTGTGTATTCTGTGTATTCTGTGTGTGTATTCTGCGTGTGTTTGTATTCTGCGTGTGTTTGTATTCTGTGTGTGTTTGTATTCTGTGTGTGTGTGTATTCTGTGTGTGTGTGTATTCTGTGTGTGTGTGTATTCTGTGTGTGTGTGTATTCTGTGTGTGTGTATTCTGTGTGTGTGTGTGTATTCTGTGTGTGTGTGTGTATTCTGTGTGTGTGTGTGTATTCTGTGTGTGTGTGTGTGTATTCTGTGTGTGTGTGTGTGTATTCTGTGTGTCCGTGTATTCTGTGCGTTAACGCAGTATCGCCGTGTCTTTGTTAAGCTGTCGTGGACAAAATCGCTTCGATATATTTGCCGTCGCACCGGTCATCGTCACTCGGGAGAGACGGACATCGCCTGCTGTATATTTGTGTGTGTCTGTGAGATGTTGACCACCTCCTCGCCTGCTATACAGGAAGTCGTGGGTTCGATCCCGACGCTAACGCCTGCTGTATATTTGGCGTTTGTGTGGATTTGTCTCCGGGTTCTCCGGTTCCCCCCCTACCGTGTCTCCCCGTGTCTCTCCGCGCGTCCCCGTGTCTCCCCGTGTCTCCCCGTGTCTCCCCGTGTCTCCCCGTGTCTCCCCGTGTCTCCCCGTGTCTCCCCGTGTCTCTCCGTGTCTCCCCGTGTCTCCCCGTGCGTCCCTGTGTCTCCCCGTGTCTCCCCGTGTCTCCCCGTGTCTCTCCGTGTCTCCCCGTGCGTCCCCGTGTCTCCGCGTGCGTCCCCGTGTCTCTGCGTGCGTCCCCGTGTCTCCCGGTGCTTCCGTGCCACGTGTTTAAGAGTTATTTGGCCACTCCTATGAATTCCCACGTGGCGACGACGACGATAATTATCCACTTCCTTGAGCTGTCACTTGCGGTGGCCTCGGTCGCTACTGACACGAACGCTCCGTCGCGGTGGCTCCGTGCGGCCTTGATATCCGGTAAAATAAAAACGACGGTAGATCACCGTGCGATAATCACGAATCATCATCGTTATTTAAAATAGCTTACTTTTGCACGTCCTTATAAGACATTGTTTGTAGGTGTCGTGTGCGTGTTGTTAGTGTTTTTAAATGTGCTTACCGCATCATATAGCTACAAATAAACACAGAAGTAGACAAGCAGAAATATCCCTACTTTATTGTACCGTGCCGACCACTCCGATCTCGAAGGCTGTGACAATAACGCACGTGGATACATCGCCGCATGGTACATTAAGGTGTGTGTAGTGTATCACGTAGTGTATGTGATATTTAACACTGAAATCAAGCGTAGCTGCTTCCTTTTAGTCACGCCCACACGGTGATGCCGATCGCCGGATCCTGGGTTCACAGCCTTTGGAGAGTTCATATTCTTAGCTCTTTCGGTAAAGTCACATTGAAGGGAAACAATAAAATATATATATAAAACAATAAAAATTCTCACGACGTTTCGACCATAACACAAACGGTCGTCGTCAGGTGAATTACTGCAGTCACGAAAGCTTTCAATCAAAATTTAGCCTTTGGAGAGCTTTTACCGGAATCGCCGGATCGGCCCTGGACCGCAGCTGGACAACGTTGGAAGCTGCCCGGGTATAATCGCGCGGTGCCGGATAATCGATGATCCACTGTGGTTTTCTCGCAGGTTTTCTGTCTCCCGGCCACCAAACCTGGGCGCGTCCCCTGGCGGTTCTTCACGGGAGGGTTTGTGGGCGAATCGCCGCTGGCTCACGAAGTGGTGGGGAGAGACCTTGCATCTTCTTTACCTTTGTCCACTTCGCCAGGTGGCGATCAAGCAGATGAACCTGCAGCAGCAGCCCAAGAAGGAGCTGATCATCAACGAGATCCTGGTGATGCGCGCCAACAAGAACCCCAACGTCGTCAACTACCTGGACAGGTGAGCGGAGAAGGAAAAAAGAACTTCATAGCTCATTGGATTCTGGGTCTCCGCCATGGCTGGCCGATCGCGTGCGGCACTTGCGTTGATGCGGGTGCCGTTGTGCAGTGGTTGTTGTGGGTGCGGTGGTTGTGGCGTTGTGAGTGACTGGCACCGTGGGTACCGTGGCGGGTGAGGAGCTGTGGTGGTGGTGGCGTTGTGAGCGACTGGCACCGTGGGTAACCCCCCCAGCTACCTGGTGGGTGAGGAGCTGTGGGTGGTGATGGAGTATCTGGCGGTGAGGAGCTGTGGGTGGTGATGGAGTATCTGGCGGGTTAGGAGCTGTGGGTGGTGATGGAGTATCTGGCGGGTGAGGAGCTGTGGGTGTGGTGGTGGTGGCGTTGTGAGTGACTGGCACCGTGGGTAACCCCCCCAGCTACCTGGTGGGTGAGGAGCTGTGGGTGGTGATGGAGTATCTGGCGGGTGAGGAGCTGTGGGTGGTGATGGAGTATCTGGCGGGTGAGGAGCTGTGGGTGTGGTGGTGGTGGCGTTGTGAGTGACTGGCACCGTGGGTAACCCCCCCAGCTACCTGGTGGGTGAGGAGCTGTGGGTGGTGATGGAGTATCTGGCGGTGAGGAGCTGTGGGTGGTGATGGAGTATCTGGCGGGTGAGGAGCTGTGGGTGTGGTGGTGGTGGCGTTGTGAGTGACTGGCACCGTGGGTAACCCCCCCAGCTACCTGGTGGGTGAGGAGCTGTGGGTGGTGATGGAGTATCTGGCGGTGAGGAGCTGTGGGTGGTGATGGAGTATCTGGCGGGTGAGGAGCTGTGGGTGTGGTGGTGGTGGGGTTGTGAGTGACTGGCACCGTGGGTAACCCCCCCAGCTACCTGGTGGGTGAGGAGCTGTGGGTGGTGATGGAGTATCTGGCGGGTGGCTCGCTCACCGACGTCGTCACGGAGACGTGCATGGACGAGGGGCAGATCGCAGCCGTCTGTCGTGAGGTAACGCTCACCCCCCACCCACCCCTCACCCCCCCCACCCACCCCTCACCCCCCCCACCCACCCCTCACCCCCCCCACCCCACTCACCCCCACCCACACCCCCCACTCGCCCCCCCCACTCACACTCCCCCACTCACACCCCCACCCACTCACACCCCCCCCACTCACACCCCCCACTCACCCACCCCACTCACACTCCCCCACTCACACCCCACTCACCTCCCACTCACACCCCCACCCACACCCCCCCACTCACACCCCCCCCACTCGCCCCCCCCCACTCACCGCCCCTACCCACACTCCCCCACTCACCGCCCCTACCCACACCCCCCCACTCACCGCCCCCACCCACACCCCCCCACTCACCCCACCCAATCACCCCCCGCCCCCACTCATCCCCTCCCCCCGCTCGCCCCACCCAACCAACTCGCCTGCACCAAAACCACTCTGACCTGCTGCTGCTGCTGCTGCTCACAACACCACTCGCCCCGGCAGTCCGCTAAAGGCCACGTGGGTGGTGGTGGTGGTGTGGGCACCTCCGTCTGTGTGCCGACGTGCTGCAGTGCTTACAGGCGCTGGAGTTCCTGCACGCCAACCACGTCATCCACAGGGACATCAAGAGCGACAACGTGCTGCTGGGCATGGACGGCTCCGTCAAGCTCAGTGAGACCCGGGGGTGGGAGGGACACGTGCGGGGACACACGGGGAGACACGGGGACACACGGAGACACACGGGGACACACGGGGACACACGGAGAGACGCGGGGACACGCGTGGACACACGGGGAGACACGGGGAGACACGGGGAGACACGGAGAGACACGGGGACACACGGAGACACACGGGGAGACACGGGGAGACACGGGGAGACACGGGGAGACACGGGGAGACTCAGGGCACGTAGGGACACAGGAGGACACGGAGACGAGCTTAGCTACTCAGAGATACGGAGACACGGGGGCGCACGGGGACACACGGGGAGACACGGGGAGACACGGGGAGACACGGGGAGACACGGGGAGACACGGGGACATGGGGTTGAGGGACACGGAGGGCCCATGGCCAGGAGAGGTTGGTGGGACACAGAGGCCTCACCACCAACCACGCTCTGCCTCCCCTGGCTGCCAGCAGTGAACTCAACCCTCCCTGTCTCTCCCTCCCCACCCCTCGTGTCTCCTTCCCTGTCTCAACCACGTGTCTCCACCCCCCTCGTGTCTCCTTCCCTGTCTCAACCACGTGTCTCCACCCCCCCCCTCCCTCCCCCCACCCCGTGTCTGCCCCCCCCAAAACTCCCCCACCCCCCACCACAGCGGACTTTGGCTTCTGCGCCCAGATCTCTCCGGAGCAGAGCAAGCGCAGCACCATGGTTGGCACCCCCTACTGGATGGCGCCCGAGGTGGTGACACGCAAGGCCTACGGGCCCAAGGTGGACGTCTGGAGCCTGGGCATCATGGCCATCGAGATGGTGGAGGGGGAGCCGCCCTACCTCAACGAGAACCCGCTCAGGGTGAGTGGGTGGGTGGGTGAGCGGGCGTGTGGGTGAGCGGGCGTGTGGGTGAGCGGGCGTGTGGGTGAGCGGGCGCGTGGGTGAGCGGGCGTGTGGGTGAGCGAGATGGTGGAGGGGGAGCCGCCCTACCTCAACGAGAACCCGCTCAGGGTGAGTGGGTGGGGTGGGTGGGCGGGTGGGTGAGCGGGCGCGTGGGTGAGCGGGCGCGTGGGTGAGCGGGCGCGTGGGTGAGCGAGATGGTGGAGGGGGAGCCGCCCTACCTCAACGAGAACCCGCTCTGGGTGGGTGGGTGAGCGGGCGTGTGGGTGGGTGGCTGAGTGGGTGGGTGGCTGAGTGGGTGGGAGGCTGGGTTGGTGGGTGGGTGGGAGGCTTGGTTGGTGGGTGGGTGAGTGGGTGAGTAGGTGGGTGAGTGGGTGGGTGAGCGGGTGGGCGAGCGGTTGAACGTGTACCCAGCGGGGTGTGTGTGTGTGTAAACATAATCAGCACAGGTGGTGGCAGGAGAGACAAAGGCGGCCGGGCACGTAACGCCGTTCCACCCACACCCCCCACGTGCGCCGTGGCGGCCTTCACAGGCGCCGGCACCTCCCACCGACCGTGCGTTTGAAGGCTGCGCGTGGCGGTGACCTTTGTGCCGTGTAGGCCCTGTATCTCATCGCCACCAACGGCACCCCCGAGCTCCAGAATCCCGAGAAGCTCAGTCCCGTGTTCCGCGATTTCCTCAACCGCTGCTTGGAGATGGACGTCGACCAGCGCGGCTCTGCGCGCGACCTCCTGCAGGTGACGCCGGGATCTCCCCTAGGTCCACTCGGCCTCAAATGAGTTGCCCGGGTGGCGTTTGTGTGCAAGGCCGTGGGTTTTTAACCACAACAGCCCTTCGTGTGGAACAGTTGCGGGCCTTCATAGTTGCTGCTAACCGCTAACAGCACTTGCCCCCCAACAGCCTTGTTAGAGGCTATATTGTGGGGGTCTTTGGGGGGCGGGGAGCGGTGGCGCAGTGGTTAGCGCTGTGCTACGAACCCGGGCATAGACCCGAGTTCGATTCCCGCTCACGGCCACCACCAACACCAGCGCTGATGACTTTCTGAACCGGGCCCGGGCCTCCCCTAGGTGTCCTCAGCCTCAAATGAGTACCTGGTGTAGCGGTGTGCAGTAAACGTCGCCACTGGGGAGACAAAGGCGGCCAGGTGTGGTGCTGACCACCCACCCCCTCGTGTGCCGTGCCGGCCTTCATAGGTGCTGCTCGCTAACAGCACTTGCCCCTACAGTCTGTTAAGGCTATACGGAGGATCTTTGTCTGTTTGTGTATGTGTATTAATGTCTGTATATTATTAAGGTGCGTATGTGTATTAATGTGTCTGTATGCGTGTGTGTGTGTGTGTATTAATGGACAACAGGACAGGTTCTGTAACAACTACAGGGGCATCTCACTCCTCAGTAGGCTGGGAAAGGCTGAGGAGGAGCTTGGAGAGCCTCAATGTGTGGTTTTAGACCAGGGCGGTCCTGTACAGATGCTATATTCTCTGTCTTGTCTGCTACATCAAAAGTGTAGGGAATTCCAACAAGACCTACATCTCTGCTTTATTGACCTGGTCATGGCCTATGATACCATCAACAGGCCAAGGCTGTGGGCATTTCTTCGTGCTTTCAGTCCCCGACTCTGCCCACAATTATTAAGGGCCTTCATGATGGTGGGCAGGGTCGGGTTAATATCCGTGGCCAGGAGTCTGAGCCATTCCCTATTAACCTTGAGGTGTGACAGGGATGTCCTCTGGCTCCCACATTATTTAACATATTTGACCACGTAGTTCGAGAAGCTTTTTCCATGGCTGTACTGGAGGAATTTACATCTGGTACAGATACAATGGGAGGTTGATCAATGCCCAGGTGCGGTCGAGGGATGGCTCCCTATTGGTCGACCATGTTACGTATGCCGATGATCTGGTAATTGCTGCTCACTTAGAGGAGGAGTTGGAGATGCTGCTGCTGAGACTGGAGCGTGCCACTAAGAGATGGGGCCTTACCATCAGCCCCACCAAAACTAAGCACCTGCCTGGGTATTTTATGCCATCAAACACTCCACCCACAGCTATCCATTGGTGATGGAGCAGTTGTGGAGGGAATAGAGAGCTTCCGATACCTGGGCAGTGTGCTTATGATCAGCTCCGGTTTGACAGCAGAGGTCTCACTCCGAATAAGTCGAGCGG